TTTTTTTTTTTTTTTGAGACAGGGTCTCACCAAGTAGCTGAATTGCTCAGGCTGGGCTGTAACTTATTATTATTATTATTTTTAGTACCAGGGATCGAACTCGGGACCTTGTGCTTGCAAGGCAGGCACCGGAACCACTGAGCTAAATCCCCGGCCCTGGCCTGTACTTTTGATCTTCCTGCCTCAACTTCCCACAGTGCTGGGTTGACAGGTGTACACTACCATGCCCAGCTCATGTATACTTTCTTTTTTTTGGTACTGGGGATCGAACTCGGGACCTTGCACTTGCAGAGCAGGCAGCGGAGCCACTGAGCTAAATCCCCAGTCCCCTACCCTCATGTATACTTTCTTTAGCATTTTTTTTTTTTGGTACCAGGGATCGAACTTGGGTCCTTGCGCTTGCAAGGCAGGCTGTGGAACCACTGAGTTAAATCCCCGGCCCTAATGTATACTTTCTTGATACCATCAAATATTGAGTCAGTATTCAAATTTTACTGATTATTATTATTTTTTTTTACTTATTAATTTATTTTATTGATACCAGGGATCGAACTTGGGACCTTGGGCTTTCGAGGCAGGCAGCAGTGCCACTGAGCTAAATCCCCAGCCTGTTTTTGTTTTATTTTTTGAGACAGGGTCTCAGTATTTGGTCCAGGCTGGCCTTGAACACATGGTGATTTTGTCTCAGCCTCCTGAGTGCTAGGATGACAGGTGTGGGCCACTCCGCCTGGATCCTGATAATTAACAAAATTTCATTTTTAAAAAGCTGGTTTGCCTGAATCGGTATCAAAGTAAGAGTGCTGTTGCTTTTGATTGACACTTGATTTGTTTTAATCTGCAAATTTTTTCCTTCCTTTTCTCCTTTCCAATATTATTTAAGAGATTTGAAGAGCCGGGCATGGTGGCACATGCCTGTCATCCATCCTAGCACTCAGGAGGCTGAGGCAGGAGGATCACCATGAGTTTGAGGCCAGCCTGGGCTACATAGAGAGACCCTGTCTCCAAAAAACAAAAGTGCTACCAGATGTGTCCTCGTGGCCCCGAGGCATGGACAGTTTTTCAGCCTCTTGGCACACAGTCCCGATTGTTTGTCCTGGGGGTTGCCCTTCATCCTGAAGAGGCTCAGGGCTTGCCCTAGCGGCAAGATGCTGGAAGCCAGAGTAATTACGAGGGCCATGAGCCGCAGAGGGAGAGACAGGTGACAACAGGGACTGTGGCTAAATAAAGCAGAAAGTGACCCACGATGGACCACAGCCCGAGTGAGTCAGAGGTTTGTGTCTCCCGCTGTTGGGTGAAACCCTGGCTAACAGGAGCCATTACTAGGTCACGTGTGTCCGGCCACCTTCCCATGGACTCTGCATTCATCAGAGCCTCATGGCTGACGGGGACCTTGCCCACTCACCGAAGTTCACAGAGATGTGAGGAAATTGGAGAAGGCCCAGAGTTTGGCCACCCTGATGGAGGTGGGAAGAATCCCAGAGAAAAGTCAAAGGCACGGAGCAGGGTCACTTTGGAAAAACTAGAGGCGCTGTCCTTGGTAATGCCAGGCAGAATTCTGTGATGATGTCACTGACAGCTAACTATAAGAAAAGGGGTGTCCATCAACCATTAGGTGCTTTGGGGGACAGGTGGGGCTTTTTCAGGGCCTGGGGTGATGACGTTGATTGTGGGAAAGCACTCTGGAATATTTGAGAAGCTGCCTCCTCTGCGTGATTCAGATACCCAGTTGCCTGGTGCCCACTAGCTGCCTCCGGGGTCCACTCCAGCCTTTTGGCCACTGGTTCCTGGTAGCCCCCTGGGAAGAGGAGGGTGGGAAGTCCTGGGCTGGGTGGCCTGGGCCAGCCTTCATCTTCCTGTGCCCGCACATTCACTTCAGGGTGCGCTTACAACCCAGCAAGTTGGCATGCCACGGCATCACTGGATCCTGCTATTCCAGCCTGGCCACACAGGGCAGAGCGAGGACTGAGAGGTGGGCGGGGAGTGGAAACTACCCAGACAAGGCCCTCTTGTTGATATGCAGAGTGGGGTGACCCAGGAGACATTAGGAGCCATTTAGTTCTGCTTCCTACAATGCAATAGGTGTTTTACACGCATGCTTTGGAATTCACACAGCCTCTGAGGTAGGGTTTCACAGGTGTGGAATTGGAGATTAAGACGAGTAATCAGCTCAGGGTTAGACTATCAATAAAGGGGTGTGTACACCATGCCTACACCGCTGTAAAATCTTTGCCCTCGCTTTTGGAGCCCGTAGACTTGAAAATTGCAGAGCAGACCCTCCCACCCAAAAGCCACACACACGGACAGGAGGGAGGCAGAAACTCCGGCTCCTAAGTCTTCATCAAGGGTTCTTTCTATAACGCCTGGCCTATTCTGATGTCTGAATCGGGGAGACTCAGCATGTGGCCGGGCCTAGGCCCGCCCTGGTCAGGTGCGGCTGAGAAGCAGGCCAGGTCTGGACTCCGGTTCCCCAGGGGCTCCGTTCTCTGCCCTACAGACCCTCATCCCAGCAAAGGTCTGAAAATCCAATCCCAGGAGAGTCTGGCAGGGCAAAGGGCAGGGTGAGCCAGGTTCTGGAGTTGCCAATCTGGGGTTCAGGCAGTGGGTGCAGTGGGGGAAAACCTTGGCCTTAGGATCAGAACATGCCAGCAGGGATCTACTGAAAGTTACTTAAAACTTTCCTCCTCTGCAAAACCCTGGCAAGGGTAAACCACACTTCAAGGGCACAGGTGCAAAAGCTGGAATTGCTACACACGGAAGTAATACCGCCTGATCTCCTTACTGCGTCACGGGAAAACCTTCGGCTCTCAGGCCCTTCGAAGCCAGAGCCAGAGTCCAGTCAGACCCAGGGAATTCCCTGGAGGCGCTGGCCTCAGAGGCAGCGGAGAACTACAACTCCCAGGAGGCGCAGCACAACTCGAGTACAGAGGCCACGGAGAACTACGACTCCCAGAAAGCACCGCGCGACCGGCGCCGGGCGTGACGTCACTGTGGGCCGGCGCAGGGCGCTGATTCGGTGATAGGTGCCAGCAGGGTGCCGCCGCCGCCGCCGCCGCCGCCGGTGGTTGTATCTTCGGTCCCTGCTCCCGGGAACCTCTCCCGGCCCTCGACCTCCCGCCCCGCGCGGTGAGTCCGGCTGGGGGCTCTTGGGGTGGCTAAAGGAGGGGCGGGGGAGAAGGCCAGGAGGCTTCTGGGGAGGCACGAGCTGGGGGAGACCTGGGCAGGGTGGCTGGGGGTCGAGGCCAGCGTCGCCCGAAGGGTGCCCGCCGAGGGAAGGGGAGCCGGAGGCCGGTTATGGGACGCCGGGCAGGAGCGCCGCGGCTGGAGGCGGGGGGTGGAGCGGCTGGCTTTCGGGGTTAAAGGTTCGGCTGGACGCGTGGAGATGAGCTGGGCCCGAGTGCGGGGTCCCTCCGGCTGGGGCTCCCGCTCCGAAAACCCCAACAAAGGCGAGGATCCGCCTCCCTGCCCGGGGCCAGCGAGGCTTCGCTTTCTTTTCCCTCCGCCTCCTGGCGAGGGGAGGCTGGGCCGAGGAGAGGTGAGCAGCTGTAGCTGGGCCTGCAGGTTGGGGAAGCGGACCGAGTGGAAGTGGCCTCGTGGGGTGCTGCTGCGGACTCCCCGTCGGGGTCCCGGGAGGTTGTGCTGGGTGGTTGTGCTGCTCACCCAGAAGGCGGTAAGTGCGCTATTTAAAGAGCCGCTCTTTTCTGCGGGAAGGACTGGGAAACACCAACTGGTCGCCCTGGGGCGCTGTCTGGTCTTGGTGTGAGCCGGGATATTTGTGTGTAGAGCCCAGGGGGAGAAGAAAGGGATAAGAGCTACCAGCAAAAAAGTAGTTAAGAGAACCGAGTTGCTGCGGGCTCTGGTTTGACACGGGTTATGAAACCACATGAAGAGCTCGTGCTGGCAGCCACCTGCCAGCTAAGGCAACAAAACTTTTCAGCCTCAGCTGCTGGGGAGCTGTCTGCCTCTGCCCGCCTCTTCTGTCTCCCCGTTCCTCTACTTCTGGCATAAGGGTCAGCTGATTACTGATAGGAGTGACATGTACCGGTAGGGACAAGAAAGTCTCAAGAGCGCTTTCAGGCTGCCGGTCTTTTTCTTAGTTTACTGATGTTTTGTTTTGGGGGACACCTAGTGTTCAGGGTTCAGGAGGAAGGTTTCCCGGTTTCCACCAGGACCTGAGGCTGGGTCCCTCCTGGACTCATCAAGCTTTGTTGGATGCCCAGTCACAGTGAGAAGGGCTGTGGGCTCTCGGACAAAATGCGGCGGAGGACAGGTCCTTCTGTATCAGCACCGCTGTAGGGCTGGCTTGTGGAGAAGGGGCAGCAGTTTGTGGTGACACTTAGGAAACTCTTCCTAAGCCCTTCAGAGCCTCACATCTCAGGCGGCCCCGGCACTGCCCCCACTGGAAGCTTTTTTGTGGTAGGTGTCCCAGGGGCTGTATTAGGTCAACCAAAGCCCCCGTTCCTAAGAAAGTGAAAAGCTGATTTTCTAGCTCCTTGGGTTTCTGTTAGGCCCAATTACCCAGCTTAATGGGGCTGGCTTCAGGAGCATTACTTCCCCCAGTGCACCCGGCCAGCCAGGTGTGGTGTGTTTGCTTGTTGGGAAACCATGTTCTGGGTCACATTTCGCCTGAGGTCTCCAAGATCAGAGCTTCCTGGGAAAAGAAAACTTTCTCCCGTGATCCTGAATGGAGGAAAGTGGCCCCTGAGAAGTCTGGTGGCTCTGCAGGCTGGGCCAGGATCCTAGCCAGAGGGAAGTGGCCGCTGAGAATGGGGGACTGGCTGTAGCAGCATGAAGGGGTGGTCTCTGGGCAGCCCCTCAACACCTCCATCATCCAGAGGGGGCTGTTGCCATAGTGATCATCATGGGGACTTTAAGCAGGCAGGGGCTGACTTCAGGTAGGTAGGTGAGCCAGGTGCCTTCTTGTCCCACCTCCTGCTGGCACGGGACCCTCAGGGGTTGGGGACAAGAGGCAGATCATTCTCCTCCTGACTATCTCTGCTCGCTTAAGTTGCCGCCCCCATTGGATCCTGGGCAGCAAGTGCAGCCCTTCTGGTTCCTCCTGCTGCAGGGCTTATCCCATCCAAGCTGGAAGGGAGGTTGCGTGGGGATGGGCAGGGCAGAGATCAGAGGAGGAGCAAGGAGGCCACTGAAGGGTTTTGTGTCCTTGGGAGGGGATGTTTAGCGTTCTAGCTGCCTGTGGAGCTGTGGATGTTAGCCATGTTCTCTGTTCTCCTCTCCTCTCTCTCTGGTGGGGTAAAGGGCCATGGTAGTTGAGCAACAGAACTGGTGGCATCCCAAGAATTAACCTGAGTGGCTGCCAAATGGAGAAAATGTCTGGATGTGTTGCTGTGTGTTACCAAAAGGGAGCCTTCCAGGTCTGGGCAGAGGTTGACCTAGGCCTGCTGCTTTGCCTCCGTCCTCCTCTTTCTACCCTGTCACTCCTCCTAGGCTGGGGAAATCTAGGCGTAGAGAATTAAGGGTGGGTGACAGCGGTGACCCCCAAATATTTCATCCACTGCAGCAGCGTGTGCCCTTAAGCCCGGGCTCCCTTTCCTCCCCAGGGACAGCTTAGGGTGGGGGCTGTCTCCTGGCCTGTGGCAGGGGTGACACTGAGAATTCTGGGCGCAGGATTCGTCCCCTCCTGGGAATGCTGGAGGGAGTGGGGCTGGGGACGGACACCTCCTGACACCCTGTCCTCCTGGGGGCTGCCAAGGCATTGTCTGGAAGGCACGATGTGTAGGGCAGCCGGTATTAATCCAGCCCAGCAGTGGCAACTGACCAAAGCTGGGGGCCGCCTCCTGCCTGAGCATCCAAACACTGGATCACTCCGTGGGAGGGGTTCTCGGGTGTGAGGGGAAGGGGGAGTGGCGTGACCTGTCTCACCCGTGCTGCTTGTTTGCAGAGCAGCCGCAGAGAGGGGCGGCAGGATGAACGTGGGCACTGCGCACAGCGAGGTGAACCCCAACACACGGGTGATGAACAGCCGCGGCATCTGGTTGTCCTACGTGCTGGCCATCGGGCTCCTCCACGTCGTGCTGCTCAGCATCCCCTTCGTGAGCGTCCCTGTCGTCTGGACCCTCACCAACCTCATCCACAACATGGTGAGAGCCTCCTGCGGCCAGCCTGGCACAGCTGAGGCACAGGAGGGGCTTGGCAGACCCGGGCCAGGTAGCCGGGGGGTGCCCTGACAGCATCCATCTCCAGAGCCCAGGCCATCGCCCGCCTCTGCCCCATGCTCCTGGGTCCAGCCCCATGCATAGAGTCAAGTCTGCACATGGGTCCCTCCCTGCAGAGTGGGTGGCTTCGGGCGTCAGAAGGTGGCCCCAGCACCCAGGCGTCTTGGTGCCTGGCCTTGTGCTGGATGGCCTGTGGCGCTGTCATCCACTCTTGTCCCTCTCTGTCCCTGCCCACCTGCTGCTGCTCTGGGCCCAGTGGGCATCTGGTCCTTTCTTGTCATGGTGCCCTTTCTGGTTGGCGCATGGAGGGCAGCATCTGTGCCCGTTCTGCATGCCAGGCCTGGCCTCTGCCAGGCTCCTGCCTGTGTCCTGCTGCCCAGTGGAGGGAGGCCAGAGGTCACCAGAAGCTATTACTGGTAGAAAAGTTGAATCGGGGACCCTGAAGGGCTTTCCCCTCCCCTTTTGTGGTATAGGGGATTGAACCCAGGGCCTTCACACTGAGCTATTTATTTTAAATTTTGAGGCAAGGTGTCTTAAATTGCTAAATGCCCAGGCTGGGCTGGAAGAACTTGAAATTCTCTTGCTCAGCCTCCCAGAGTCCTGGGATTACAGTTGAGCATCTCCTCCACAGGCTCCCTTAGCCTTTTGTATCTTCTAAGGAAGCCCTTTCCTTCCAGGGCATGTACATCTTCCTGCACACAGTAAAAGGGACACCCTTTGAGACCCCGGACCAGGGCAAGGCGAGGTTGCTGACCCACTGGGAGCAGATGGACTACGGGGTCCAGTTCACGGCCTCTCGGAAGTTCTTAACCATCACACCCATTGTGCTGTGAGTGCCCCGGTGGGCGGGGTGAGGCCTGGCCTGGCCTGGCCTGGGCATAGCCCCGGGGAATTGCAGGGGTGGCACTGCGCTACTGGGGTGGAGTAGGAAGGCCTCGTAGCCCAGGAGTTAGTTCCAGTCTCGGACCTCGGGACCCCGGGCGCCCTCCCACCTTCCCATCTGTCCCACCCTCTACCCACAGGTACTTCCTCACCAGCTTCTACACCAAGTACGACCAGATCCACTTCGTCCTCAATACGGTGTCCTTGATGAGCGTGCTCATCCCCAAGCTGCCCCAGCTGCACGGAGTCCGAATTTTTGGCATCAATAAGTACTGAGAGGGCACAGGAGGGCAGATGCTCTCACTGCAATGCTGAACACGGAGCTTGGAGCTCAGGATGCTGTGAAGCCAGAACATCCCCGGGCCTAGTTTCCCCTGGCTTCCCCAGTAGCGATTTGGAGTAGTTTGTAGTGGGGTTGGTGTGGGCCCTCAGGCTCTAACCCTTTCTGAATTTTTTGATCTTTCCTTTTGGCTTTTGAGTAGAGACTCCATGGGGTGGTCAGGGAAGGGGCTGGGCTCTGGGTGACCTCGGACCTGCGAGGTTGGGACAGGAGGCCGGGCTGGGGACCCCGGTCACTTATTTACCCAAAGCACTTTACCCCTGCACAGGGAGCCGGGGACGGTACGGTTCTGGATCGTGTCCCCGTAGGTCTCAGCCTTAGGGTAGTGCTCAGTGTTCTTGTTCAGATCTCGGGAAGTGCGTGACACTGCCCAACTCCATGGCACAGACAGCTGTCTAACACGGGCCTCAGGATTCGGCAGCTCCCCTCAGCCTGGCCCGGTGTGGTGGGCAGGGCACAGGGCTGGCATGCAGGGTTGGAGCCACACCGTCCGGTCCTGGTGGAGGCTGGGAGAGGGAGTGGGGCGAGCTGGGGTAGCCAGTTGGGTCTTTGAGGTAGGGGCTGCGTGGATGGGTGTAAAGGGGTTGGGGGGAGCTGGACCCCGTGTCCTCTGGGGTGTGGTTCGGGCCATGGGCTTGGGTGGTCATTTCACCTACGGCATGGAGGTTTTTGGTTTTTTTATTTTTTTGGTACTGGGGATCGAACTCCGGTCCTTAGCTTGCGAGGCAGGTGGTGGAACCACTGAGCTAAATCCCCGGCCCTACCTACGGCATGGAGATGGCAGTGGGAAGGCGGGGCAGCTGCAGGGCTGAGGTTCTTGGGTTGGTGGGAGGGGTGGCCCGCTGGCCGCCCTGGTGCAGGTCTGGTCGGACACCGCCCTCTGCAGTGGTGAGGGGCGTGGGGGTGGGAAGCTGCCACAGAAATGATGGGTGGTGGGTGCCTGCCCAGCCCTGCACCCTGCAATCTCCTCCTATGGGCAGGCTCTGGGGCCTGGCTTCTGCAGGGCACACACATGTGGGCCAGGAAGCCACCCCACACAGCTGGGCTGCTGGACCCCTGCCCAGGTAGGGCAGTGGGGGAAGCATGGAGTGGCCGCAGGTGCTGCCCCCTCATCCCAAGCCCGGGCTGGGCTGAGCTGCCTGCCTCTCCCCCGCAGCTTGGGGCGCTGTGCTTTAGAGCAGGGCCTGAGCGAGGAGGGTGCCCCCTTCCCCAGCTTTGCCTCCTGGCGCCCCCCCATGTAGCATAGGGAACTTTCACCTTCACATCTTTCTAAGCGAAGCGTGAATAGGATTTTTACTCCCTTTGTACAGTATTCTGAGAAACGCAAATAAAGGGCGATCCGTTCCTGCTTCCTGTGTCTGGCCGCTGCCTCCTGGGGGCTCTGGGGAGGGGACTCTGGGATGCCGCAGCCCCGTGGGAGCTGGCGGAGGCTCTGAGCAGAGCAGGACCTGCTGTCAGTGCCATAGGCCTCGAACCTCAGACTCGGAACAGCCAGGCCAGGAGGGCGTGCGGCCCAGCGATGGCTTCACACATGGAGCTGGGGTCCCAAAAGGTGCCCAGTGTTTCCCCCTGGACTCCGTCCCTCTCCTGAGGTCTTCCCAGTCACTGCCGCCTTGGGAGGGCCCCATTTCCTCCGGCCCTGCCTGCCCTCCTCATGGGTTTGGCTTGTTTTGAGACAGGATCTTGCTACATTACGTAGTTCATGCTGGCCTCAAACTTGTGATTCTCCTGCCTCGGCCTCCCGAGTGCTGGGATTACAGGTGTGTGCTACTGTGCCCAGTGCTTTCTCTGGGCTCCAGGGATGTTCATACTTCTTCCTTTGCCAGGAGCATGAGTGGGAAGGGAAACAGCACCCCTTGCAGAAGCCCGGGTGTGGGAGGGGTCCCCCCAGCAGCCTGCCCAGCTCTGGCCCTGGGCCAGCATCGCTACCTCCTCGGGGTGGTTCTGGCCCAGGTCCAGCTGGTGCCGTGTCACCCTGCCCACCCCCACAGGCCACGAACGGCCCAGGAGGAGAAATGCAGTTGGGCCAGCCAGGCCTGCAGGTCACTTCAGCCGCCATCTGTTCCAGTCCCAGCCCTGCCACTTGCTAGCATGTGGCCTTAGCAAGCTCCTCCTCTGAGCCTGAGCCTCCCGCTGTGTCAGGAGACCACCTGCTTGGGATCTGGTGGGCCTCCACATGGCACCCAGCAGGTAACTTCACATGTGACACCCGCGTTAGTCACCCTAACTGCCACCACTTCCTCGGATGCTCTTCCACACCTGAGGGGTGCGAGGGGGGAAACAGGCTGGGCTGGCTCAGGGTCTTCTCTGAGGAGGCCCACAGGGCTGGCCCACGGGGAGGCGTGTTGTGGAGGAGGCGGGTGCAGGGGTCTGCATCTCCCTGAGAACATTTGGGAGGGTGCACGGGGAAGAGGCTCTTCCTCCCGTCCTGGGCTGCAGGTGCTTGCAGGTGTCCTTGCCGCCCACCTTCGCACCGGGACAGTGCCTTCTGAGGCACTCACGCCGAACGGAGCTGTCTGCTGCCATTCAGCTGGTCCCTCCCCTCTTCCTGCACAAGATTGCATGGCAGCCCAGACTCACTGAGGGGAGTAGATCTCAGGGTCTCCCACCTCCTTGGGTCGAAAAGGAAAGGTGGCCCCTGGCCTTCTGTCTCCACTGCAGCCATAGGTGGCTCACCAACAGGCCTGGGCTGTGGGTGCCAGCCCTGCCCAGGCTTCCAAGGAGTGCCGCCCCCGGGGGCTCCAGTCATTTCCATTCCTGGTGAGCAGCTGGGACAGGTGGGAGATGGCCCTGAGATGGGCCTGTAGTCCCACCGGCTTCCCAGGGTCCTGGGAAGGGTTCCCAGACCAGTGGTGAGCAGCCCCCTGGGCCAGGTAGGAGGGACTGGGGAAGCGGAGCCTAGGAAGCTTCTGTTTCTTTCAGAGGCCACCAGCCCACGTGGAACGCTTGGTAGGAGGCGCCCACCCGACTGCATCAGAGCCAGCAAGGCAGGGAGCCAGAAACTGGCCAAGAGAGGAAGCCACCAGATGGGGCTGGAAGGGAGCTCTGACAGCCTCTCCTCACCTGGGTCTGCTCATCAGCATCAGCCAGCCTGGTGGGGACGGTGGCGCCCAAACGGACATGCAGCAAGCAGGCCTCATCTTCCTGCTTGGGGTAGTCCCACTCCATCTCCTCCAGACAGGTTCCTGTGGGCAGAGCAGGGTCAGCCCTGTGATGTTCACTCTTCCTTAGGATGAAGGCAAACCATTCCCGGTCCTGTTGCCCTATCATCTTTGGCTTTTCCTTGACCCTAGGCTGCCAAAGGTAGAAGATTTAAAACCCTGAACTGGGCCAGGGATTTAGCTCAGTGGTACCGTGCCTGCCTCAAAAGCACAAGGTCCTGAGTTCGATCCCTGGTACCAAATAAATAAATAAATAAAAATAAAACCCTGAACCAATACCCTCTTCTCCCAAATTGACGTACATCCTCTGTCTAAAACCGAGACAGTCACAAAAGCTGTGGACCAGGAGGTGGATGGTGGAAAGGACGGTCCCTGATGCCAGCAGCCTACACTGCTGGTGGCTGGTGGTACAGAGGAGGAGGGTGCTAATCACTTCTCAGCCTTTTGGCTAAGATCAAGTGTAGGAGGAGGGTGCTATTTGGATACCACTACTGCTGCTTGGACCTCACCCTGCAGGGCATCCTGAGCAGGACCAAGGGCTCCCAGGCCAGTACGAGGCGGTGGAGGGGGCCAGCCAGGGGACCTCGCCTGCTTCTGCTTCATCCAGTTCTTGACCCCCTGATGCCATCACCTACATCACCCAATCTGTTTGCAGTCTGTCTGCACAAGGCAGTCCAAGAAGCCACACAAGAACTGCGCAGTGGGAGGGGAGAGGGAGTAAAATTCATTCATATTGGAAACCATTCCTACATAGTCTTCCTTTCCTCCCTTTCCTCTTTATAAACAATTTCTTTTCAATTAGTGGAGTTCTCCTTATGCTTACACAGAGGAATAAATGGAGGCTCTTGGCTTAATGGCCAAGGAGGATGCAGAACTTAGAGCTGGGGCCACCAGTTCAGAGCCTGGTTCTGCCCCTGACCATCTGGGCGAACTCTGGACAGGTTGCTTCAGCGTCCTCATCTGTTGACTCCAGAAGATGCTTCCAAGAATCAAATGAGAATCAGTTAAATTGATCATTTATTATCACAGGGCCTGGCCCAGAAGGGACATTCAGTAGCAGTCACTGCAACTATCCTGGTGGTGGTGGCTACTACTTATCCTTCCACATTCCTTGGCTATCAGGACTGTGAGGGAAGTTGTGGGTTTGAAGGGGTTTATAGTAGAGTCAGTTATTCTATCCCCGTCTCAGAACTCAGCAATTCCCGGAGTTTCTTGGGTTTCAAAAGCCCCAGGGCGGGTTTGGTTGAACCTTCCCTTGGTGTATTAGGGTTCAGATTCAGTATAAAATGTATGTGTGATTACATAAGGGATTCATGAGGTAAGGTTACAGGATCAGAAGTGAGAGCCCCAAAGGCCATTGGCCAGATCAGATAAGGAAGAATCCAAGATGGTCACGTGGGCGCTGAAGCATGGGAAGATCCAGGAACAATGGAAGGTCAAGGCCAGGAAGCTTGCTGCAGTCACCGGTGAGAGTCAGAGTTTGTCCTGGAAGCCAGAAGGAACTAGAGACCAGAGGCAATAGTAATGAATATTGTCCAGAGGCAATAGTAATGAAGACTGGAGCTCTTCCGAAAGAGGAAAGACTGCCATATTTCCCTGTTAGTCTCTCCAGGCTACAAGCTTATTGGTTGAGTCACCCACCTCGGGGGCGGGACTTCCCTCCTCAGTCTGGGGCCTACCTGTCAATCATCCAGACACACCCAGAGCTTTACTAACCTGCTAGGCGCTTCCCATTCAAATCAAGTTGACAGATGGTGATGAAGGATTACACTCGGAGATTCCTTTCAGTGTCTCCCTCTGAAATAGAGAGGAGTTTACCGTATTTCATGTTAAAAAGCCCGTTTCTTCTCCTTTGGTCTCATGCCAGGAGATTGGGCAAGACTTCGGGCAGCCTGAAGAGTTTTGCAGCGTCCCCCTGTGCCGGGCCCGGCTGTATTGTGGGCAGGAACAGTGCCTGAGGTAGGAGGAGGGGGCAGACCTTTCCACAGGGGACTTTAGTTAAGCCAGCAAGGAGAGGTTTCAGGCTAGCAGTTTTCAGAGCCAATTTTCTGAAAAGCGAATGCTAGGAGCTGATTTATCAAAAGCCAGTTCTCAAGAAATTTGTGCAATGATTATTTCACCAAAAACAACACACAAAAATACTTTAACTTGGGACAGTGATGTTTTGCAACAAATTCCCCAGGGACAGGGGTAAAGTGTAAGTCTGTAAAAATTTTAACTAGGACAGCTTCAAAGCCCGTTTGTGTACAAAGTTCAGAAGTGGAAGTGCAAACAAACTGAAAAAAATCCTTATAGTCTTAGAAATCTGAATCACTTTTCAGCAACTTGGTTTGTTCCTTTTTTTTTGGATTTTTGAGACAGGGTCTCACTATGTAGTTCAGGTTGCTGGCCTTGAACTCACTATGTAGCCCAGGCTAGCTTCAAATGCTCAGTGATCCTCCTGCTTCAGCCTCCCAAGTGCTTGATTACAGATGTGCACCACCACACCCAGCAGTTTGTTCCCTTTTCAAACAGATTATTTAGTTTTGAACTATATGGCTCTGATGGTGTGGTTAATGTGCACTTTTTAAAAACTAAAGTTTGCTGCCTCGCAAGCGCAAGGTCCTGAGTTCGATCCCCGGTACGAAAAAAAAAACACAAAAAACTAAAGTTTGAACTTTTTATTCAGAGTAAGTGGTCCTGTCTCCTTTGGCTTCTCTTGGTTCTGACAGTTTCTCAGACTTCCCTTGCTTTTGATGACTTTGCTAGTTTTGAGCAGCATTGCTCAGACATATTTAGGAAGGCCCTCTGATGGAATTTTTCTGATTTTTTTCCCCTCGTAGCTCAGCTGTGGTTGTGGTTTCAGGTGGAAGAGCACATGTTATCAAGGGTACTGCCACCTGCATGCCTTATCACTGCTGACGTGGCCTCGGTCACCTGGCTGGGTAGTGCGTCTTGGCTTTCGGTTTCCCTCCCTCCCTTCTCCACACTGTCCCTCTTTGTGTCCATAGTTTTCTCTCTCTTTTTTTTTTTGGTACCGGGGATTGAACTCGGGTCCTTGGGCTTGCGGGGCAGGAGGCGGAACCACTGAGCTAAATCCCTGGCCTTTTTTTGCTGTACCCAGAGCTTTCACACTGAACTACATCCCCAGCCATTTATTTATTTATTTATTATCTATTTTGGCACTGGGGATTGAATTCGGAACCTTGTGTTTGCAAGGAGGCAGGCACTGGAACCACTGAGGAGCCATTTATTTGTTTATTATTTATTTATTTATTTTGGTACCGGGCATCGAACTCAGGTCCTTGTTCTTGTGAGGCAGGTGGTGAAACCACTGAGCTAAATGCCTGGCTCTGGAGCCATTTATTTAATGTTGAGGCAGGGTCTTGGTAAATTGCCCAGGCTGGGCTTGAACTTTTGATCCTCCTGCCTCAGCCTTCCAGGTGTGTACCTCCACAGGCTGTTCCCTCTTTAGCTCTACTTTGTCCTGTCTTATAGTGGCCTCTCAAATAGTGAAATAGGACTAAGTCACATGTTTTATTGGAATGTGTGCCAGGCAATTTGCTAAGTGTTTACCTGCAGTATGCTGCTTAAGTTCCCCAGGCCAAGAAAGTAGGAGCTGTTAATTCTCTCCATCTCTGGATGAGGAAAGGGATCCAAAGAGGGCAAGGAACTAATCTAAGGCCATGTAGCAAGAGGTGGCAGAGGGGGTGAAGCCAGGGACTGGGAGACCCTAGTGCCTCCTGTCAGGGAATCAGCCTTTCCTGGGGAGACCCAGCTCTGCTCCCTCAGAGGGGGCGACAGGGAAGGGAGCCCAGGGAAGGCCTGAGCCCGGGAGGCTTTTGTGGAGAAAGGACTTTGGGGTCCGCTCCAGTATGACCTTTGCCCGGTCTCTCCAGGCAGAGGCCCGTCAGCAAATTGTGGACAACGTGGACTTAATGCCAACAGTGAAATCATCCAACCCAGTGAGTCACAAGCACCCTCCAGGAGGCCACAGTCATAACATTAAGATGGTGAAGAGGAAGATAAACCAGAGATGTCTGGATTCCCTTCAGAAAGTGAGGCTGGTGATGGGCAGCAGCCCGGACGGAGAGAGGAAAGCGTGTCTGGGGGCTGGTGACGCCCTCCTCTGGCAGTCCCCGCCCCCCGAAGCCGCGCCCTCCCCAGCCCCGCCCCTCAGTCCCCGCCCCAGAAGCCGCGCCCTCCCTGAGCCCCGCCCCAGAATCCCCGCCCTCCCCTGAGTCCCCGCCCTCCCCTGAGTCCCCGCCGGGGTCTGGACCTCCTTGCTTTCCTGGCCGTTCTCTACCCTTCCTCCCCTGGCTTTGCTTACCCTTCGGTATGGACCCTCCCCCAGCACACATTGGGTCCTCGAGAAAAGAGCTAAAGTGACGCACAACGAAACGGAAGCACACTTGCAGAAAAAGTGCCACCGCCCCGGGTTTTGATAGTTAGAGTAGTTAGAGGGCGGCGTGCTTCCAACAGGAGCGGCTTCGGGCTTCACTGGCTTCACAGCACAGCTCTGCTGCTGGTGCCGGTCTTTCCTGAGAGCGGCTCCCCCGGCTATTTTAATCACAGCATGCATCTCATCGTGGAACCAGACGCCTCCTGAGCCCACGGACGGAGGGGTCGGGTTTGCCGCGTGCCCAGCTCGGTGTGGTAGGCACGGCGCACGCTGTGAACCCCTGCAGAGCAAGCAGCAGGCTTGGAACGCAGCTCTCTGCTTGGCCACCCGCTGGGTGACCTCGGGGCCTTCACACCCTGCACCTAAGGCACAGTTCTTCCTGTAACAAATACATGCGATTCTGCCCGCGTGGCAGGGTCGTGTGAGGTTAAACGAAGTCGGTGTGGCCCACGCATGGATGCTGTTCAGTTCCCTTTTCCGCTGTGCGCCCCACCCGCCCACAGAAGCCAGGGATCCTCTCGAGGAGGAGGAGCTGGTGGCCCGGGAGAGGTGTGACGGGAGGAGGGCCCTGAGTCCTGGCTCCTCCTTTTCCACACCCCCCAGGAAGCTGAAGGAGCAACCACCCTCTAAGCGCCAGGCACTGTCCGGGATGCAAGAAGTGACTCTGGTGACGGAGACCCTGGAGAGGGATCAGCGGGAAACCCTGAAGGAAGGCCGCGGTCTGACATCCGGAGCCGGTTCTTTGGATGCCTTTTCAGCTGCAAACGGAAGGTTAGGGCCCTGGGTCCGGGTAGGATCATACCTCTGCAGGCCCCAGGCTCTGAGCTTTCTAGGGACGCCCTTTCCCCTTTCCTCCAAGCCCTTCAGGGCATTCTTAATTACACGGTGTTTTGCTCCTTGTCTTCTCTCTGCCTCCCTTTTTAGGCTACGTAGTGAGTTCAGGGCCAGCCTAAACTACAAAGGGAGACCCTGCCTCAAAAAACCAAAAAAAAAAGAACGAGTGAGGAATTTTTTTTTTTTTGAGTCAGGGTCTTGCTATGTAGCTCAGGCTGGCCTCAAACTCACAGTGATCCTCCTGCCTCTGCCTCCCAAGTGCTGGGATTTCAGGTGTGGGCCACCACACCTGGCAACCAGGACATTGTTTTTAAACAGAGGACAAATGGTCTGGAACCGTCTCCCAGTCAGGGTTGAAAGTATAGTAGGATGAGCCCAGAGGAGGGGACTGGCGGGGGGGGGGGGATCAACTTGATGGAGAAGCAGCCTGGGTGAAGCTGGGTCCCCTAGGATGACTCTGATTTAAGGCTGTTGGCCAAAGATACACACAGTCGAGCTACTTTCCTGCTGGGCTGGAAGAGTGTTGGTCTGGCCCTGGTCTGTTACTCAGTAGCTTCTCAGCCCACCCCCTAGTCATGGTTTTCCTAACTTTAAAATGTAGGGCCACTGGGTGTTGTGCTGCATACCTGTAATCCTAGCTACTGGGGAGGCTGAGGCAGGAGGGTCACAAGTTCAAGACCAGATGTGGCAACTTAGAGGTACTCTAGCTCAAAATAAAAATTTAGGGTCTGGGATTTAGCTCAGTGGTCCTGCCGCCTGCCTTGCAAGTGCAAGGACCTGAGTTGAATCCCCGGTACCAAAAACAAAACAAAGCAAAACAAATCAAAATGAAAATTTAAAGGAGCTGGGAATGTAGCTCAGTAGTATAGCATGGCACTTACCTAGTTAGCATGCACAAGGCCCTAGAAAAGGAGTGGTGCTAGGCTAGGAGGTCCCTGTGGTTCTGAAGCCCTGGATCCCAGCAGTGCTGTTCCGCTGGAGTCTTGGGAAAGGCTGGAGGGGTGACCGAGGGCCCGCTGTGCCCGAGCTCCTCCGAATTGCCTATCCCCTCAGGCAACTGCTCAGGCTGAACCCCATGGCTTCCAAGCCCACAGATGCAGCACTTTGCTCTTTACACCCCAGAATGGGGTGCAGGCGGCCTCCCTTTCACAAAGGCTGAATCTGGGAGTCAGAATCTCCACCCCTGGGAAAAGTGCATACAGGGGACCAGAGCTGACCCACGAGCCTCTGAAGCTCCTCTTTGGGGATCAGGACAGAGGCTCAACTTGCTTAGCAAGCGTAGTGCAGCCAGGTGTGCTGGGGGCTGCACCCATCCCCTGGGGCCTCAACCCCAGACTGCTGCTCTGCTGAGTGGCGTGTGCAGGGCTGGGAGGGTCTTCCTCTAAACACAACGGGGTTCTCAATGTTTGAATGCTGAAATCCCCTGGGAGACTTTAAACTGGCCTTGTCCGAGTCCCGCCTTGGGAAACCCGGACTTGCTTGGCTGGGGCGTGGCCTGCGCCCTGGGGTTTTAACAACCTCCAGGTGATTTTCAGGCAGCACTGCTTTAAAGTCCTCAGCCCTCCCTCCTCTAGAGTGGAGGATTTTGAGTGGATTGAGTGCCACTGCATTTTGAGAGGCAAGGACTGACTGACCCGGTTTTGATATCGCAGAGGCAGAGAACTTGGGATTGGGTTAAACTGGGGTTGAGTCTGGGAGATGGGAGCGGCATCATCCAGAAGCATTGGTGGTGAGAGGCTGGAGGAGGGTTCCCTCCCACAGGATGAGACTGGAAGAAGGGAAGACACAGGCAGGTGGTCTCTGAAAGCAAGGCAGACAATAATGGGGCTGGAGGGGCTTTAGGAATGAAGCCTACTGGGCTGGGCGGGTCAGGTTCATAACTTCTGCCTTTACAGGAAGGTCCTCGAGTTTGGAGGTTTCCAGAAGCGTGAAGGAGAAGGTGCAGGACACGGTGAGAAGCCTCCGGGGCCTGAATAAGCAGAGAAAAGGTGCTCTGAGCTTCCTCATCCAGTGACTTCACAGGGAGCAGGACCTGCAAGACCTACAGCGGTGAGTGACCCTGGGAAGGACTAGAGCAGGGAGGGACCAGTGGGGAGGCACTTGGCATCAGGAGGATCACCTGCTACAGAGGGACCGCGCTTCCTGCCCACCTCCTGGCTCCAGGTGTTTGACGTCCTGATCTTTGGAGAGCTGCGGCAGGAGGATCTGGCTCTCCAAAGCTGGGAGCCTGGTAGAAGCGCTTGCCAACACCATTGTGGAGTTCGTGGACCCCTTGATAGGTGAGGGAGGATCCGGCTGGATTCGGAGGTGGAGGAACTGCTGCTCAGGGAGGCCTGGGGATCACATCTTGGGGTGAGTGCCAACGGCCCTTTACGCTTTGCTTCATGGGGGTGGCTCCTCACTTGGTAGAGACCAGCGGCTCCCCTTCCCCGTGGTCCAGTCTGTGGTCCCCAACTGGGTAGGGGGAGGAGGCACCTGGACTCCGTGACGTGAGCCTGAGCAGTTGTGGAGGCCCTGGTCCGCTTCATACTCTCCTTCCCAATGGACCTCTCAGAGGAGCAGCAGTTTTGGGGGGAGGCACTGGAGAAGGAGACCTTGCCCATGCTGAAGGACAAGGTGAGAGGGCCTGGGTGGAGGGCCGGGTCACAGTGGGAGAGAAAATGATGTTCTCAAGGGACCCAGAAATTCCAGGGCAAGTTCCAGCCCTTTGTTACTCCATGGTTCCCCGCCAGCGCACGTCCATGTGGCTGGCTGGTTAGTGACAATTCCCTGGACATAGGTCGCCAGGATGATTGGACATGGGTTCTTTAGGCTCTGTTGCTTGCCTGGAGGAACGAGGGGCGGACGTGTGACTGCCAGGGCGGCAGCTGGCATGGGCTGATCAGGGTCACCTGCGTGGGCTCCACCGGAAGGAGCGCCATGACGGTGACTATGTCTGCGCATGCGCTCGCTACTGCGCGCACTGGCCAAGCGCTTGCCATTTCCGGTTTGTGTCGTTGTTCCTAGCTTTTAGGCTGGTTGGTTTCCTTCCAGGTGGAGACCATCCTGGAGGAGAAGTGGGGTGTCCAGGCCAGCAATCCCCAGGACCCAGACTGTGACCCCGAGGCGCAGGCCATCTTTATCCTCTATCTTGCTGTCTCCATACTGCTGCAGCTGAGCGAGCAGCCCACCACTTCTTTTTTTTTTTTTTTTTTTTTACCGGGGATCGAACGCGGGACCTTGCGCTTGCGAAGCAGGCGCCGGAACCACTGAGCTAAATCCCCGGCCTAGCCCACCACTTCTTAAGAGCTACTTCCCCACCTCCCGAGCCCACCCTCAAGCGGCCACCACGGCCACCACCGCCATCATCCTGTCACCAGAGGGACCTCATCAGAACTCGCAGATGGCTTTCTTCCAGGCACCCCTTCCCTGCGTGTTAATATCCCCAACCAGCCTGGATTGTATGCATGGATTTCTGGTTAAAACTGGCAGATTGATTTATTAATTTCTCTCCCTTGAAACCTCATTAAATGACAGTAGAGCAATTGGGAAGGTATAAGCCCTCCAGGATAAAAAGGGAGTTGAAGTCGGGGAATTTAACACATCTTTAGAAGCTAGAAAGCAGGGGCCTGAGGGGCGCGCGCGCGCGTGTGTGTGTATGTATGCTGATTTCATCAGAAGTCTTTAGTTCTATTTTATATTCTCAAAGAAAATGTAATTAGAAGTTAAAGAAATAATGTTGGGTACACAGCATTTCAAACATGTCTCCAATACTAAGTAGAAGGTGGAGCTCCTCTGCATCTCTCTTCCTTCGGAGACCAGAGGTAGCTGACGTCTGAAGCTAAGGTGACTTGTGCCAGGTAACAGACTGCTGTTTACAGATCCAGGCACTGGGCTGTGGTTGCCTGGCCTGTGGAACCCAAGCCCAAGGGCCTCCCCGAGTGGGTTCCACTGGAATCTCAAGGGTGCGCCTTCGTAGTAAAGGTGACTCAGCAGTAGATCCATGGCTCTTACCCCACCTCGGGGGAATGCAGCCAAGACTTTTGGGTACTGAATGAAGAAGAGGTTATAAAAGAAAAGGGAAAGCCAGGGATTTAGCTCAGTGGTTCTGCCACCTGCCTCGCAAGTGCAAGGTCCCGAGTTCGATCCCGGGTACCAAAAAAAAAAGGGAAAAAAGTATTCTGAGAGGTTGAGATCAGAGGCACCTTGCTAAAGAACTCAGGCTCCCTGGCAGTGGACTTGGTTGGGGAGGTCTTGGGCCGATCACATGCTCAGGCACCCGTCAGAATCACACTTGACCTTCATTCCCATAAATGATCATCTCAGGCCAATGAGTGCTTCCCAGGAAACTACCAACAACAAAGAATCCAAGGAAGTAAAACCATGAGCAAGAATGAGCAAAAATACAGGACAGCACAGCAGAAAGGTAAGAAAACATCAAATAAATAAATAAATAAAATAAAATACTGGAATTCCTAAACAAGGTTATGAAAACATAATGATGCTTAAATTTGAAGATGAGTCTGAGTGTGGTGGTGCAGACCTGTAATCCCAGGACTCAGGAGGCTGAGGGAGGAGGGTTGCCAAGAGTTTGAGGCCAGCCTGAACTGCATAGTAGGACCCTGTCGCAAAAAACCAAAAAAGTTCAATCAAGGTTCCAAGAGCAGAAGACAATGAGATTCAGGCAGAGGCAATGCTTGATGAGACAGTGGTTGAGAATTTTGCCGAATTAAAGATAATCATAGTTTTAGGAAATGCAGTGAATCCCTAGCAAGATTTATAACACATTCACATCTAGAAGAATCATAGTAAAATGGAAGAATAGCAACAAAGACAAAAATTTTAAAACTAGTCGGAGAAGAAGACAACTGACCTTCAAGGAAGTTACAGACTGAAAACTCAGTGAGGAGCCGTTGATGATGAAATTATACCTGTGTGTGTTGAAAGGAAAGCACTGCTGATTAAATTTTTATAATCAGCAAAACTGTCTTTAATGTAGCGGGGGGGGATGGGAGAAAATAGAATTTATTTTAAAAAAAACTACCAAAAAAAGTTAATATTGCAATATATCAAAAATTATTTGGGAAGGGGCCGGGGATTTAGCTCAGTGGTTCTGCTGCCTCCCTCGAAAGTGCATGGATCTGAGTTCCATCCCTGGTACCAAAAAAACAAACAAACAAAATAAAGGTAAAATTATTTTTAGATAAGAATGAAGAGCCTTTTTCCCTAGTAGGTCCTTATTAAAGAAAAGTCAGGTAAAAGGAGAGACCTCAAATAGATTTGAAGCTGGGTGTGGTAGTATACTCAGGAGGCTGAAGCAGGAAGATCCCTGCGAGTTTGAGGGTCGCCTGGGCTGCATAGTTCAAGGCCAGCCTGACATATGTGGAGACCCTAACTAACCACCCCCCCCAAAAAACCCCAAACCAATAAAAGGTAAATAAAGAGTTAAATCTAAATAAGCAGTAATTGCCAGAGCCTGGTATGGTGGTGCACACCTGTGATCCTAGCACTGGGGAGGCTGAGTCAGGGGGATCACAAGTTCAGGCCCAACCTGGGCCACTTAGCAACTTAGAGAGACCCCCCCCCCAAACAAAAGAGAAGCTGGGGTGTTTCTCGGAGAGAAGGCCTTGGGTGCAGTCCCCAGTAACACACACACACACACACACACACACGCACGCATGCACGGACGGTGATGCACGCCTGTAATTCCAGCACTTAGGCTGAGGCGTGAGGATAGCTAGTTCAAGTCCCACCTATGCAGATTAGTGAGACTCTGTCTCATAATAAAAACTAAAAAAGGGCTGGGGATGTAGCTCAGTGGTAGAGCACCCTTAGATTTAGTCCCTATGTAAACTTATCAAAATGGCATCCTATGGGGTAAACATAACAACTGTAACTAATATAAGCCGGGGACTGTGGCGTACAATCCTGGTCCCAGCTGTTTGGCTTGAGCTCCTATGAGAATCTAAGACCACAGCTGACCTGACAGGAAGTGGAGCTCCAGTGGTGATGTGCAGATGGGGAGCTGCCTAAAAGTTTTCCTCAGTTAAAAAAAAATAAAATTAAAAAAATTTTTTAAAAACAGAAAAAAGATGAAGAAGAAGAAAAAAAGAGTTTTCCTCAGTAAGATGTTGTAAGTCCCAAACTGGAAACAACTCAAATATTCACTAACAGGATGGATAAATGTACTATTGTATGTTCATTCAATGGAATATTATACAGCAGGGAACAGGAACAAGCTGAAGTTATTCTTTGGGGAGAATTACAGCACAAAAAGATATATTCAAAAAGATTCTTTCCACCTAATGTTAAAAAAAAAAAAAGAAAGAAAACTATTGCTTAGGAAGCCACACTTTGGTGGTAAAATTCCAAGAAAAGTAAGGCAGTCCTTATTAGAAAAACATTCTCTTTGGAGGAGCAATGGTACAATCAGAAGAGGCCTATCTGAATGCAGGGTGTGAAGGACGCGAGCGATGTTTTATTTCTCTGGGTGGTAGGTAGTTCAAGTGAGAATTATTTGTTAGGCTGTATTTTTATGTGAATATACTTTTCTTCAACTATGATGTGGTTCACAATAAATTAAATAAAAGAGAGAATGGTGGTATTCACTTTTTTGTTTGTTGAGACAAGGTCTCACTATGCAGTCCAGGCTGGCCTTGAACTCACTATTCAGCCCAAGTGGGCTCGGACTCGCAGCGATCCTCCTGCCTCAGCCTCCAGAGTGCTGGGATGACGGACTTCCCACGGTGCCGGCTGGCTCAATGGGACTGTGAGTCCCTGGGCTCCATACTCCGCCTGTGCAACATTTTCCACCCAGTGGGAGGCGTCCAAACCACCGGCCCCCTTTTGGCTTCCTGTTTCCTTATCTTTGTTTTCCAAACACCCCTGCCACTTCTATATTTGCTTTTGGATTCCGCATGTGTTCTCGGATCATGCAGAAGAGCCGGTGTCGAGACGCCGGGGAGGCGCGCTTGGACCTCAGCCCTATCCCTGCAACTCAGGTCGTTCCACCTTGGGAGCGTGTAGGTTTCGGGAGTCTTATGACTGACAGCCACGCTTCTCCGATTCCCTGAGAACTACACACGGTCTTTCTCTTTGGGGGGTGGGTACTGGGGATCGAACTTGGGACCTTTCACTTGTGAGGCAGGCACTGTGCCACTGAGCTGCATCCCTGGCCCCGCCTTTTTATTTTTTTAAATTACATTTTGAGACAGGTTCTCACTAAATTGCCCAGCTGGGCTTGGATTTGGGATTATCTTGCCTCGTCCTCCTGGTGTGCACTCTCCCATGCCTGTCCTGGGCTGAAAGTTTTTTATTTCACTAATTTCAGTTCTAGGCAACTGGTTCCTTGTGAAGTATGCAGCTTGCTACAGCTGAAAATCATTCCCACGTTAGGCCACACGGACATCTGTACTAACTGGAGCAACAGGTAAATGTTTGTCCCCATTTATTGTAACTTCGAAACACTTTTTCTTGAGATCAGGCTTTGTTTTTGACTTTTAAGCTCCCCCTCCCGCCCCCCGACTGGGCGGTAAAGGCGTGAGTACCAATCTGTCAGCTCCTCTAGGAGGTTTCTTCCAAGGGACTAGAGAAAGTTATGAAACACAGGAGGAGGTGGAGGAAGGCAAGAAGGGCCAGAGGAACATTTATCAGATGCGCTGCAGGGTAAGGTCAGCTGGCCACCCGCCCACAGTTAACATGCAAATAGGGCAGCAAAGCAAAGTATGAAAAGAAACTGGGGGGTGAAAAACAAAATATAAAGGTGAAGATGCGTCCTGGCAGCTGGGTGTGGCGGTGCACACTTGTACTAGGACTTGGGAGGCTGAGGTAGGAGGATTGGCCAGAGTTCGAGGCCAGCCTGGACTACATAGCGAGACCCTGTTTTGCTGAATGAATGAATGAATGAATGTTTCCTTGGCCAGCAGGCACAAGGAAGGCTTTGTCACCCTGGCTCTGGAAGCAGGTTCGTGCCTGGCAGTGCCCGGTGGCCACCAGCTTGGCCGACCTCTCCTGCTGTGTCTCTGACAGACAGCCCTCCTCGAGCCCTGCTCTCTGCTTGGCGGCAGAGCTCTCAGGGACCTCAGCAAGCTGCAGCCGGCCGCGGTGAGGCCTCCGCAGGCTTCTGAGAGCAGTGCTGAAGGTTAGGAGAAAACTCTATAGTACCCCACAGAAGAGAGGGGCGCAGAACAGTGTGCACGCAGAGCTTTGGAGATGAATGTTGCAGTCGCTACACAAGGAACCCATGACAACTGCAAACATGCAGTGAGTAGCTGAAGAAAGAAGCCATAGCTGGCTACTCTTCATATCTGCTATTTCTGTATTCCTTAGAGTTTTCTTTTTATTTTGGCTTGTTTTTTTTGGCTACTGGAGATCGAACTCTGGACCTTGCGCTTGCGAGGCAGGCAGCAGCATCACTGAGCTAAATCCCCAGCCCTATTATTTTGGCTTTTTGAGACAGGGTTTCATGATGTAGTCCAGCCTGGCTTTGAACTCCAGGCAATCCTCCTAAGTGCTGGGATAACAGGGCTGTGCCACCACACCGGGCCTTTCTTTACAACTTCCTAGCAATTCTTTGTTACTCCAATCCCTTGTATAGTTAATTATCCTTTTTATAATACTTCCTCGGATTAAATAACTATTTTCTGTCTCCAGACTGAACCCTGACTAGTACACAGACTTAGTATCAATAAATGGTAGGAAATAATAAATTTCGCTGTTTTAATTTAGTGGAACAGAATAAGAAAGGTGTTAAATCTATACATATGAACACAGAAAAATCTTTTTTTTTTCTGGTACCAGGGATTGAACTCAGGACCTTGCACTTGCAAGGCAGGCGGCAGAACCACTGAGCTAAATCCCCAGCCCCAGAAAAATCTTTTAAAAAATATTGGCTTAGAAGATAGCCTATTTAATAAATGGTGTTGGAAAAACTGGATTTCAACCTGCCAAAGATTAAAACTAGACCCATACCTATCACCATGCACTAAAC